ATGTTTTTAAATACTGGGACCGATCAAGATGACTTTTTATTTTTTTTTATTTTTCCAATATAATACCTATTACCTAATACGCATATATAATACCTATTGGTATTGATATGATATTGGTCAGAAAAAAAAGGAACATTCAAGACGGGAACGGAAAAAAATATCCATAGTTAATGATCGGTCTGAGCGAAACATCCTTCCTACGGATGTATTATATTATAGTATATTATATTATATTATATTATATTATATTATATTATAATCCATTATATTATATTATATTATATAATGTATATCAGTAAATGGTCTACCGAAGTAGGCCATTTACTGAGATATACAACATCTGGAAAATACCATTCTCGAGTGCTGTGCAAATACAAATCCCTGATTCATTAAAAATGCAATTACAGATGTCAGTAGGAGGACCATAATTTGTATTGAACGTGGAGGATGACATACTGAAATGTAGGCTATAAGTGTTTGACAACCTCATTTAGATCAATAAGTAATTTTTTATACCCATTTGTATTTTCTATAATATTATTGTTGTTTAGAATTTATAATAATAATAATAGTTCTATCGAAATCATTTGCATTTTTTTAGTTGCCTCTGCTTTTTCGAAATCAAAGGTTTGTTTAAGAAAATAGCCAAGTGATTGAAACTTTGCCACCAGTCATGTTGAAATTTTCATAGCAAATTTTTGATTTCTCTCTTAAAATGTCCGTATAGGTGAAAATGTATCAGAAAAGTTGAACTCCATGATGAGTTTGTTATGTATACATAAATTGATGACAATTAACCGAATTTGGTTTTAAAATAAATAGGATATCTGTCAAAAATAAGCAAAACGTTAACTGTATCCTAATTGCATAAAATTCGGCATATGGATATAAAATTGCCGTAGACACAACTTTTTCAAGTAACTTTTTGTTAAATTCGATCTAGAAATTCACTTTTTCAATTTTTTTCAAAAAAAAAAGGTTGAATTTGACAAACACTGAACATCAGTGGGTCGCAGTTGGCCGCATCATTTTGAGTTAAATTCAAAGCACAAACAAGTGTCGAAGTTAAACTTCATTGAAACTTTTCGAAAAAAAAGTTTCCCATGTGGTGCGCACTTTAATGGTGTCACTGTATTACAAGATAGAAACGTACATCGGCATAATGTACAGTTTCATAACGCAATCCATCATAATATACTTCATCATAAGGTACTTTTTCATAACGTACTCCGTCATGGTAACGCATCATAATATAAATCGATCATAAACACAATGCATGATAAACACAAAACATAATAAAAGCAACGCATCATAATATCAAACGATCATATTCGTAATCGATAGAAACCGTAACGCGTCATAACTTACTTCATCATAACGTAAAGTATCATAACGTACTTTGTCATAATCCTATGCGCATATCGTGGTTCTTGATTTTGGAACCTTAACACCAACAATTTTCCACTTTCTACAGAATCCATGCGCTTGCTTATACTACGTGGGAATAATGGCGGAAGTTGAAATCTAAGAAGAGACTTATACCGAAGAAGTTTGAATATGATGAAATACTTTAATTTATTATTTCATTGTTTCTAATTTCTCAAAATTCTGCATTATAATGTTGAGTGAAATTTTGAGACAGTTGGCTGCCTTGAAGAACCATTTACACCATGAAACTAATTGCAAACCAGTTGGCCATTCGCCATCGGCTATTGCTATTGGTTGATTCGATCTGTGTTTTTTTCAAACTTTAAAACTGTTTGAAGGTTATTATCATGAATATATTCTAGATCGATTTATTTGCCTCTATTTTGTCTCCAAAGCTTTCAAATTGTTAATATGACTGTAGAATGATATGAAAGTTCTAAATTATTTTGTGTAAACAAAATTAATGAAATACCAAGTTACAAAACTATTAATATAACTTCGGATACTGTAAAAAGTGGAAAATTGTTGGTGTTAAGGTTCCAAAATCAAGAACCACGATATGTGCATGAGGTTAGTAGTTTCATCACATTGATAAAATACTTTAAATCTACCCAATTATAATCAAATCCAAACCAAAACAGTCATTGAAAATAAAACGTATGTAGGTGAGTGCGGTATAATCCTGAAATCAATAGAGTATGCGTTCATTTTAGTGATTTGCAATTGATTTGGACTCAACTGATGTTAAATATATTTCAGATACCTTCGGAAAACATGTGTGTGGGTGAGACTGTGAAAAAAATATCTATTCAATGTTTCAAAAAAAAAAATTTCAGACATACATATAGTAATACTTAGTGAAAATATTAATTTTATGTTTCTGTTTTTGAACATATCTATCAGAATTTTGATTCATCTGTTTACAATACACATCTATTGAATGATATAATGCTCTATTTTCATTTAGATTCCATTTTTTGCTGGATGAAAATAGGAATTATGTTTTATTAAGACATTCAACACGGAAAAGTGAATGTCAAGTTGGATTTCATAATGCAGCAGAGCAATAGCTAACAAATTTGAGAAGATACTGATTCTAATACAAAGTAATTGTGCAAATCTATTGAGACTATGGATATTTTTCTGAAGGTCACATACGTTTTTGTTACTTCCTGCAGAAGATCTACAAATACAAGACAAATACACTACGGAATTATTCAATCTAGAGCGGTCAGGAGTATTTTTCTGCTCAAGAACCCCAAGAATTTTGAAAAATCCTCTTGTTATCCTAAAGCGTATCTAGTGGACTTCAAAGACTCTAGAAAATCTGTTGATGAGAAAGATAATACATTCTTACGGAACTGATCCTACATGCAAAAGATCCCAAGTTGCCTGTATCTATCTGTTGAACAATTCTGTCATCAAAGAAAGTATAGACATCAGAGGTTGTTTAATATCTGTTGAAATAATGTTCATTATCAAATTTCATACAACTGATATTTGACAGACAAGAAAATCATTCTTTCAAAATTCTGAGAAAACCATATATTCCAATTCCACTGAAAAGGTCTATCATGATTTTTCGATCTCTATATAACTCATTTCATGTAACATGATCCCATCTCTCATTTCCGGAATGTTCTGTTAATAATCCTTCCTATATCCTTTCACGGCATCGATTTGCTGAACTTTCAGATATGTTGTAAATTCCTGGCGGTGAATTCTAGAAGAATTCAGTTCATTCAAGATCATTGGTGATCAATTGCAGAGTATCGCTAACCTCATTACAAGTAAAACCTATTTATGGTAAAATGCTGGGTTTTCGAATACTTCGATACATGTTGGAACATTTGAAATATTCCATTCTCAGCTAGTAACTGATTATTTAAGATATATTCATATTTATTGGATGGAAAAGCTGGAAAGATGATTTATATGAAATTTTTATGTTTTTTAATATGCACCTTCCTTTCACATATTTGTTGAATGATGTTGATTAAGGTTTGTCTTCTTCCGTCGACTTGCGATATATAATTGCAACAGTTAATCATCAAAAACGTATAATCTCGATAATTATTGCCCAAATTATTACACATTCATTCATTAGTTTCGCCAATATAGCCCCTACAGGATGTTCACATGAGTATTAATCGTTCGAATATTATACTAAACATTTCCAAACTAAATTTCCATGACTCTGAAGATCACACACTATGTTATATGAAGATATGGAAAGTAATGCTGATATATCAGTGAAAATAACTGTGTTCTTAGCTACTGATATTGCATTATACAGAATAGAACAAGTGGAGAACAAAAATGAATAAAGTAACATTATTGGCCGAAAAATTATTTTTTTCTAGGTACGAAAACTTACCTGCACGTAATCGGCAAATTTTTTCACTGGAAAGAAACCTGATAATACAATGAAATAGAGAAAATGGTCATATAAATTGTAAATTTTCAGCAGTTTACTTTCCTCTGAATGAAAAATTCAACTCATTTCCATGATTTGTTCAAAAGGGCGCAGGTTTCTTTTGATGACAAATTCTTCCAATTAGGTTTCAAGTATCAATCGGAATATCAGACGATTAGCAGGATAGTTTATCGAAAAATTTTATTTTCGAAAAAAATTAATTTCATGCATAAATTATTTTTGTAAATTATGAAAAACTCTGAAAATTGACTCTTTGTTATTTGAAATAATGCAATGAACTGTTAGTGAGCACACAGAAGTTTCACGGCAAATTGATTTACAGATATTTCAGGTAACAATCAAATTCCATTCAATAATTTTTGAAAATATAAAGCATTAATGGGCATTACACGAAGGAAACTTGTATTTATTCAAGAAATACTTGTCTTTGGGAATAAAACGACTCAGTGCGTAAATATTCCGCTAAAATTTGAAAATATTTTGAATGACTAGTTGTTGCTGGTGGGAACATCGAAAAAAAATTTTTGTCATTGGAACTGAATTTCATTTCTCAGGAAACTATCCTTTAGAACAATGTGATATTTCGCTCATCAAAAAATTCCACTCACCAGATACTGCTCAGAGAGGATTATCAACACACAAACGACTGGAAACATACACTGGTAAAAAAATTTCCACCGGTACCGGTGGCAATTTAATTACCGCCCATATTAGCGAGAAATTACTTTCGTGTGTGATCTCACATTCCATGCGAAATATTATTTTGTAATTCTACCCCGAAGACAAGTGTGGAATTTTTCAGTGTAATTTTTCATTTTGAGTGTACTTTTGAGTTGAAATAAAACTTTATAGGGTAAATTTGCGATATAAATTTATATCGAGATATTACACTCTTGACAAAATTTTACAGTAGAATTTTACACTCTTATATAATTTCACAGTGGAATTCTATACTCTGATAAAATTTTACGGTGTAATTTTTCATGTACGGGTTATATTACCTTGGGATATTCCGTTGTAAGAAGGTCCGTATTCAGAGTAGTTTTGAAGATAATGATACCTCAATCGGATGTTAACTCTTGACTCTTAAGTGGCCATTTTTCCTCATACTTTAGATAATTGAATGCACAAGACATATTACACATTGATATATTAAAAAAATATGTATATACAAAATTAGTTCATATACATTCTTGGAATGAAATTCTACAAAACATTTTTTTTTCATTTTCAAAAAAGTCAAATAACAGTACAAAATAAAAAAACCATTCTTCAAATTAAAAGATTTTCTTTCTTGCTCATGGTGGTATTATTCGGAAAGAGAAATGAAAGTAATATTTCTTTTTCTTTTTTCCTCAATTGCTGTTATTATCCTAAAAGAGAAATGAAATATCATCAAATGAATAGGTTTAGAAATCTAAAAACACAGTAAGTTGACGAACACACATTCCTAGAGAAAAACTACTACTAGTTTGACTTCAATAGTAATATTTCTCAAAAATTTTTGATACATATTCAACCCTTTAAATAAAAAATTAGATTTTTCCAAATGTTTTCCAACATTTTCTGAAATATAGCAAATATAGCTATAATGATATGGTATGAAGTGGTGATGAAATGTTTTGTTCACCTCTTCAACAGAAACAAAAAGGTCCTAAAGTGTTTCTCGATTCCTTCAATTTTGAGTTCCAACTTGCCTTGCATCGCAAAAATGTTTTCAAGTTCAATAATAAGAATCACAAATCCTCAAATTCATCCAAAATTATGAGAGATACGAATAAAACGTTCATATATTTTTTAGGTGAATAAAATTACGATTTAACATTGTCCGATATTTGCAACCACCAATACGAAACTTTATGCCTCATCGAAATTCATTTTTAAAATGGATCGTGCATACGGCGTCACTGATGAGTCACGCCACTGCTATCGAGTATATCTCTTTTTCTCAATACCATTCAATAATTATCACAAACATTTTCAAATATATGTTCTGTAATTATTTGAAAATCAGTTAAAATATGTTGTTCTATTCCATATAGTATGAAATAATTCGCGATGTGAGGTTAGGATATACTTGTAATAAAAAACACTCTATAATGCATATCGAGAAAACTCAATGAATTCATCTGTTTATTGGACTAGTTATTGAAATTTCACAAGAAATGTACTCACCTTCTTTATTTATTTTCACCAACAACAAAAATATTCTAATGCACACGTCAGACAAACCGATGCGCTTCTGTAGACAAGAATGAACAATACAATAATCGCTCACAAATACAAGCGTAATTTTACATTCGATAAAGAGATGGCGAAAATTTACATTTCACGAAGGGGGAATACCCATCGTCCAGTAAGTAATTCTCATCACATGAAATAATACGTTATGATTTCACACATATATTAGATGAATATTTAATTCTCAATGAAAAGTACATTGCCTACTGAAATTACGCTCGGGGATGTGAATTATTCAATAGAGAGAGTATATTTTCAATAAAACTGAAGTAATTTTCTTCGTTCGAAATGAAAATTCCGAGGTAGATTTCAATCATTTTTCCCGGTGTAATGAAATACGTATAGAGAATGAATTCCATTCTTCAGGAAACTACTTCTTATAGAATCCTTGTATTTTGCTAATCGAAATTGTTCATTCATTAAAAACTGTTCTCAAAAAATCATCCCTCCGAATCGATAGAAACATTTGCGCAAAAAATATATATTTAGTGGAGGCTGATATTAATTTTGAAAGAAATTGCTTCTTGTGACACCCTGGTATTGACTCATTATAATTATTTACGCATGTAATATATATTTCTTCCAAACCGAAGAGAATATTCCAAAAAAATATTTCTCAATAGTGACTGAAACTTATTTTTCAGCAAACTGCGTTTCGTGAAACCACATGATATTCTGAGGAAATTTTTTCGAAATCGATCAAACTATTTGAAAAACTGTTTTTCGTGGTTGAAACTGTCAATAATTCTATTTTTTCAAGGACAGAACACAAGCACTCCAGGAAAATCCTCAAATAGCTCTAGTAGCGGTTCCTGCACGAAATTAGAGATTCAAATTGGATTTGAATTGTTGGAGATTGAAGCATTCTCAGGAAGTTTATTCCATAAACGCAGTTCTGCAGAAGGAAGAGTTCTCAAACATACATGAGGACAATACTCCAAAGAACGTCTGAACTGAGCTTTATGAAGCATCAAATGTTGCTGAGGTGTTTACAGTTTTCTGCTTCGGAACAGTGTTCCAAGCTTTTGAAAGCAGCCTTTGCAAATCCAGCGACATGTACGTGCCAAGACATATTGGTGTCCATTTCAACCTATAATAATGATAATAATAATCTTTATTTTCCATTTGACATATACATGTATAGAAATCGTCAAATTTCACACATAAAATTATGAGCACACGCACTATAAATGTACATCTATGTGTATTTTTATGAAAAGACTCGAAATACAACAGTGCATGGGAAACAAGCAAATAAGAGAGGGAAATTCAAATATAAAGATTCTTACATCAAAACGCATCGAAATACGAAAAACTGATAACCGATATAGGTTAGAAAGAAATGTCAGATAAAATTAAATTAACATCTGTGATGAAAAAATGAAAAAGGCATGATAAACTGATTGTTATTATTTAGGAATGATGTAAAATTCAAAATTTATTGTTGTGAATCACTTCCTTAGAAACTGACATCAGGTGATGCTTTTGGAAAATATTTATATTTACATGAAAGTGAGGTTAACTATTTTCGTACGAAACTGTAAGATGAAAATGTCTCTTAATTTGAGAGTCAATGTTAAATTAGTAGAATAGATAATTTTCCTGATGAAGAAGTTGAAAATTTGTATATGTGAAAATTGATAGATGGTAACTAGGGGAACGAGATAGATTTTAAATTTTTTTATCAACAAGGGGATTATTCTTGAGGCAACGAAAGAAAATACGAAAGAAAATATGAACTGTTTTTTATATATTTGAAATAATACAAGTTATTTCTTTCAATGTTGATATGGATATATACATTAATACAACTTCCTGTACGAGAAATCAATTTCAATCGGTTACGCATTGTGATATGCTCAATGAACCATTCAGTAGAAATGGATTTTCCATCGTAATGAAATTGATTTTATTTCTCAAGTTGAAGCTGATTTGGAATTCAAAAAAATATTGATACAATGATTTATCAGAATTTATACCGAAACGGTCGTTTATGACCTCCAGAATTGTTCAGCAACAGACCGCACCTTCGGCAAGGTTTGTGTTTGTTTGTTTTTTCACAAAACTAGAGGTTACGGTGAAGAACATTCTTAAGCGTATGATTAATAGTAGAATCAGTATTATATTGAGGTTTTGTACTTCAACTGAAATACTTTTCTGCAGATTCTGTTTTTCTCATTTCACTAGCGATTGAATGAATAGGGTATTTTCGTGAAATGAGTTGTTATAGTTATTATATGAGAGCATAATTCTATTCCCTATACAAGATGGTTGTTCTGATTATTGGAGTCCTTGGTGAAATGATGTACTCTCTACTCTCGAATCTTAAAATCATACCGGCTTGCCGCACTAAGGCAGAAATCTTAGCCCCACAGATGCAGAAGGATGTCATTCTTGCCTCACTACGCTTGCTCAGGGCACATGATTTTCGGACCCAATGATCACTTACCCCACGGTGTGGGAAGTGGTCACTGGTTGATAGTGCTGGCGCGCCCTCCCGAATATTTTGGGGGCTTCGGGGGATAGGGCCTGACCAGCACACACTACGGTGGAAAAAAACAATAATAATATTTATTTACTAAAGAATCAATACATATACTTTAAAATCATCATTGAAGAATGCAAGTTAACAAACACAGAGAAAATCCACAAAGGCTAACCTGCGCGTGGATCACTAAGTTTATTATACAATGAATTATAAAATAAGTAACTAGTTATTTGTATATACATAGTAAATTTATGAAATATTGATGAAATATCGGAAAGCAAATAAATAAATGAAATAAATGAAATAATTTCACACTAGTAAACAAACACAAACACAATCACATAATATTAGCAAGTGATATTGAATAATTATAGAATGCACAATAAATTTATTTTATAGATTTATTTCAATATATTTTAGCGATGCATTGAATTCATTGGAGCCTCTGGAGACACCCTACATTTTGTTTTATAAGAGAGAGGACATTGTTAGATCAAGATCTTCAGATGATGTGGTGCTGCAGGTTTTTCCGGGTTTTCCTGCAGCTGAAAAAACAAATGCACCACTGGAATCAATGAAGTCGCCCCGGAGCGCCAATTAATTTTTATTGTTGTTTTTATTTTATTTTTATCGTTGTTTCAATAACATCCTCAATTATTGTGAAAATAGATAATTACTTTCAACACTAGTGTTAGAAATATTAGAATTAATTATATTCATATATTCGGAATATACTTTTTGTATGAGTAGTATTTTTTTTATTATGAAAAATGTTGAATGAATTCAAAAAACTAAGATATTTCAATTACGTTAGGTATTTATTTGGAATCGAATTTTGTAAATGATTTAAAAAAATCATCTTTTCATTCAAGTCAAAACTTTGTGATATCACTCCACTGAGGATATTGATCTGCCCAGTTGACATGAGTATTTGATAGTTTTCTCTCGAGTACCACTTGTATTGAAAGTAATGAAAGTCAAATACTTGAATTTCACTAGTTCGGACTTCCATTGTCTACTGTATAAAATGATTTGGACTCCCTGAAACAACTAAAAAAGAAGAACTGAAAATGAATAGCTGAAAATAACAATTATATTAACCAAAATAATCCTGAAATGAAATAATAGTGAAATAAAATACAAGTAAAAATCGAACAATTGAATGAATAAAAATGAAGAAATGAAAAAAAAAATGAAAATAAAAAGTGGAGAGATTACAAGTCACGTTAGTTCACGACGTTTCGATTGTTATCTACAATCGTCATCGGGTGATGACTGATTGATGACGATTGTAGATACTAACAATCGAAACGTCGTGAACTAACGTGACTTGGAATCTCTACACTTTTTATTTTGTTTTTTCATTTCTTTATTTTTATTTATTCAATTGTTCGATTTTACTTGTATTTTATTTCACTATTATTTCATTTCAGGTTTATTTTGGTTGATATAATTGTTATTTTCAGCTATTCATTTTCAATTCTTCTTTCTTAGTTGTTTCAGGGATTCCAAATCATTTTATATAGTAGACAATGGAAGTCCGAACTAGTGAAATTCATCATGAAACATTGTCAATCACCTTCAATCAAATACTTGATTTTTGCAGGTTTTGTTTGCTTCTAATGATGATAATTACAACATTCGTGAATTTTTTACAAATTATCTGCAACAACGTATATTATCACAAAGGTGATTGTTTTTATTGAAATGGACAACTCTGCACTGGTCTTATAGTCAATAGATTTCACATTTGCAGTCTAACGAAAATATGGCTACAGTTCTCTGATTGTAGGTACTTATGATGTTGAGAAGTGTTCTGATGAGACTATGAGAGATTTGAAGAATATTTGGGATAGGAGCAGCAAAAGGTCAAGATTTCAATAAATTTCGTCATTATCTTCAGGTAACAATATACAGAAAAATACTTGGAATATTTGAAAACAATTCCCCCATTCACTTTGTTATTGAGATTGCGTATGACTATGTTTTTTTCAGTGAAATATTCCGAAATAGTAGAGACATAAAAAAGTCGATTCAAATTATTTTGGGAATTTGATATGATGTGAATGAAAAGTTAACTGACATGACTAAGAAAAAAATCAAAATCTATTTTCATATGCAATAAGTGCTGGAATATGTGTGAATTGATGTTTTTATAATAGTAATTCCATATAAAACATAAATTAGTAAACAATGTGTTCGAAATCAATCAATTCCATGATCATTTGAAAACTGTATTCTGAATAATCGGTGAGTCCCTATTCGCGCAAATCACTGTTTGAAGATAGTATTTTGTGTATGCCGATACCATACCTACGTATGAAGTTGTTCAATGCATTCCGAACTAATCTAATAATTCCGTTACACAATTTTCATTTCCTCAAACTTCACACTGAAATCTCATATCCTCTATCTCTCAATCAGTTGTCAGTATTTCCTGTCTAGGAATGATTGGAACCAGCGAATTCACATCGTTATTAGTGTTTATATCCTCCGTTCACGTCGTCACAATGCATTGAAAGATAAGATCGCCTTTTGACCCATCATTCAAATCTCCACAACTGTAAATTTCCACCTGTTCCTATCTCCGCATCGGCCATCTAAGCCATCAAAATCTTCGGAGGAAGATGCTAATATCGAGAACTCTTGAGCGTGTCTTAGCACCTGAGTCGCAGTGTACGGAAGGGGGGAAGGCTGCGCGCTAGTGGGGACAAGGTGGGGAACGAAATGTAGGTCTTTGGGTCCACAACAAGGTGGGTGGTTTTAGTCAGACTGCCATCATCGAGCAGTGCAGAAGGACTTCCGTCACAGGAAGGTCGTTGTACGGCAGGACATAACCCCACTTGAACAAAAAACTCACCCTCCTCATGATTGAGTGGACTTTAAATTGTTGAGTGACTGAAGTTAAGTTTTTGTTAGTTAGTAGTGAGGAACAATCGGTCAACTGTGCCAAATTGGAAAATTTATTACATTTTGAGATCATTAAAGACGTTTATTAGCGGTTTAAAAAGTTGTTGTCCGTATTTGGTTGGAGTAATTGCATGTTAGTATACACCAAAAACATAAGAGTGGTTTTAATTTCCTTCGACTAATTGGATCTTTCATCGACTGAATTAGTGCATGAGACCTTCAGCGATTCAGCTTTCTGACCTTCGAGCGTATTCCGGTTCGAGGCATTATGTAAAATACTTTTTTACTCAAATCCATCGAATTTGAAGAGTTGACGAACTTATTAACATCGTTCGGTAAAGTAACTGTTCGTAAAAGTGTTGTGTACCTACTATATGTAAATACGGAAAAGTAATTCTATACCGGCTTCTGTCAATATTGTCAGTCTGTAAACCTTTGTTGAGGACATTTTCCGTTCATTTGTGATTGTGGTGGCAGTTTGCTTTCGGTGACTCTTTTCAAATTGGCGTGTATTTTCCTTGGCGGGATTTTGGATATATTCGTTTAGGTGAGTCTTCCCAACATAAATGAATGATAGGTTTATTATTTTGTCGAGATAATACAATTCTTTTGTTTATTTCTGATGATAATTCATTACTTTAGTCAACCAGCAGGTCGGTGACCATATACGAATAGAATAAATACATTTTATGTGAATATACAGTAGCATATACGGGTCCAGTGATATTATGTTTCATATATATTTCATACTTTGGCGTTATTGTCAGTAACTAGGGTATAAAAATTTGAAAAATTGCACGTATTGTTTGTAAAACGAACAAATGAATTTTTTAGAGGTTGAGTTTCAACGGTTCCTATTGAAACCAATGAAATATCTTCGAAAAGTCTCTTTCGTTTTTTTTTTCCAGTTCATCCCGCGTATCAGCTGTGTATAAGCTAGCTAAATCATTAAAAAAACCCACGATGTATTCAAAAGTCATTTATATATAAAAAAATCTGTTTAAAATAAAATTTGTATATTTATATATAAGGAAAACAATCGACGTCTAAGAGAAGAACCATGGGATTTTCCATTTAACGATTATTTCCATGATTTTAACTTGCATTACTTATTTTCTTATTTTTATCTAGATATTTTTCCAATAGTTTTAGAGTTGTTCTTTATGTTCCTGTATCTTACAAAACCTCCAACATTTTTGTATGATCCACTACGTCGAATGCTAATGACATTCGGACATACTGGATGTACTTTCATCCATTAACTCATAAATCATGCCGGTGATTGTTGGAATCACTGCTTGTCAGCTCTTCTCGAAATCCAAATTGATTCATTAAATGAAATAATGAATATTTTCCCAGACCAGTTTTTGAAGTTCTTTCAAAACACCCAGTCAATACTGTTAGTGGTATAGGTCTGTAATAGTTCATTTTGTTTTTGAACTCTTTGTTATGTATTGGTGTAATAGGTAACTGTTTTTTGAATATCGTTGATTTTATTCCTTTTTGAAGATGTCATTGAAACGATTCACTAATGATGGGGCTATGATATGTCCCATCTCTTGAATGTTTTTGTTTGGATATCATCTCTAAACTATTTGATTACTCAGGGTCTCATCAGTTTGATCATTTCTGCGTCTGTTATAGGTGATGAAAATGAATTGATTATATAAAGCATTGAAGTTTTTGGTGTATTAGCTTCCGTAATTTTCTTTGAATAAGTTTTTCTCACCCCTGAATGGAATCATTTTTCTCAGTGAAATTTGGTTAACAGTAAGTATTTCTATAATTATTATCTTTCTTCACGTCATTTAGTTGTTTTTATAATTTTCTATAAATTTTCAGGATCACTTTGACTTTTATCAGATTCCGTACTTTCTATCAATCGGTTTCAATTTTTCTATATTCCAAATAGAGGAATCCCAGAATCAATTTGAAAAGAAACTTATTCGAGAAACAAGAAAATACCTAACGTATTCCAAAAACACTTTATTGTGAGATTTTCAGTAAATTGTTTTACAAAAACGCAACACGTGTTTCGCCATACAATGGCTTCATCTGGCGTGTCTTTCAACTGACAGTTGAGTTTTAAGACACGCCAGATGAAGCCATTGTATGGCGAAACACGTGTAGCGTTTTTGTAAAACAATTTAGTGAAAATCTCACAATTAAGTGTTTTTGGAATACGTTAGTTATGGATTTTCATCAAGTATCAGCCGATTCCATCAGATATAAGAAAATACCTTACAAAAAATTTGATAAAAACGACAAATTCTAACTTTCACAAACAAATTGATACAAAGTATAGTGACCCTACAATCCTATACTTTTTGAAACTAATGTTTCAATGAAATTTGAAGTTGAAAAGCAATACTTCATATATAATACTACGCTTTTATTGGATATCTTGTATATTGCAAAATACTCCGAAAAGGTGAATCCATGGAATTTTCAGACCAGAAAAATTTCTAATTACTTTACTTCTACATTTATATAAAACTCCCAACTATCTTTTAACGGAGGTTTTTCTTGAATTTGATTATATTGTGGAAAACAAGCGATTAAAAAAAATTGTTTATTGATTTTTATCGGTATGTATTACATTTCCATTATTATTATAATAATTTATGCATTTTCATCAACAATAGTAAACTGTACTGCATAAACATTGCGGATGCAACCTGTTGAATGATCAAATCGATTTAGTTTACTCACCGGTTTTCAAATTGGAACATCCGCATTGTAAGCTGTAAATTCAGGTACTCATCAAGCCAAGTACCTCTATTAGTACCTACAGGGGTGGTATATAAAGCTAATGTAATGAACCATTATTAGTTTATTGTATAAGTTTGAAAATGTCCTTATAGGACGAAACTACAGTAACGTTTGTTACAAATAAAAGTGGTAAAAAATATAGAAAGTTTAAATTCTCTTTTCTTCAGTTGAAAAATAGGTATAAACAATAAAAAAATTGAATCTCTATCAAGGATATAAATGACCATTGTTTGACGAATGAAAAATTAAATATTCATTATATTATTTTTTTTTAAATTTTTTTCATGGGTCGAAACTATCCTAATTGGAGATTCTTCAAACCTTCATCAAGAGAAGTCATGGAGAAGTCTCCTTTTGTATTTCAATGTAGAGTATGAAAAAAATGTCCTGTTGGGAAATTCCGTTAATCAGGTGTCGTCCCCATACGAACGACAACTCTCAGAAGTTGAGAAATTTGTGCGAGCTAAGGACTAACGAGTTCTTACCTTCTAACGTGTGGTTCCTAACACGGTTGCAGAATCATCCCAGCTTCAACCAGATAAATTCCCTCGAGATAAATATCTGGTCGAGGAGGGAATCGAACCCACGGCCTTCCGATCGTGAGTCGGACGCACCACTACCGTGGTCAATTGTTCAAACACTTTGGGTTCAAACAAAATGGTACGTGGCAACATGCATTTATACCTATCATTGGTAGACCTATTTGAAGAAGATCGTGTGAAATAATTAAAATGGAATAGTTTTCGGTACTCATGCAAAATATAGTCCTGGGCTCACAAACGAAAGAAACATATTTTTGTTCATGAACTTATTTCTTAGTTCATGAACAAAATACAATACAATAGAGCCGATATTCTAAAAGAATGTCGTATCAGGGATCACTGATTCTGATGTATATCATCTTCGTTCGAAGTAAGTCAAGGACGAACTTTTAACGATTCTAAATCAGGAAATCCTATTCATACATCATGAAGTTTCATTCGAGTATCAACAGTTGGGTTGTTCTGAAAATTTCAATGGCAAAGAATATGATTAGCAATTGTATTATGTTAGACAATAAAATATTTTTGCCGCATATATGAACATTATCGACAAAATCATCTCTTTACTGATAATCACACCCGTCATTTCATTTGAAATTGAAAGCAACATCAAGTAGTGAAATCATAGAGCTCTCACTCTTCCTGTACATATTAGTACCATCCTGATTCCTGATTAACAATGAATAATAATGAAATATATTCATTTATTCTAGGTGTTGCACTTCCCACGACTAAACGTTGAAAAAACATCGGTGTCGACAGGCTATCGATAGAAAATCAAATAGTTATTTTGCTCATCTCTGCATGAAAAGCTACATTGTTCACCCAACTCATACTTGACAATCCGTTCTTCGTCAGGAAATACCTACTCATAATATTTTCACATTTGAAAAGTTGGCGACACGCCTCTACTTCGATATCATTATGCCTGTAATTTTGTGCAGATACCGCCTCCATATTTGTTATTGACAATATCAATATTAATATGTTTATTTATCGACCTAGTAAGATTTTTAATTACATATCAAGGGAGTTATCGAGTTGTACGTGTATCAAAAGTGTGCTGCCCGTGAAATCGGTCAACTTCAATCAACTTCAAACCTTGATGGAAAAGGTTGAAACAGAACCACAAGCTCGATCAACCAAACAGAATTTGTAATTTTTTTAGATGTCCTTGTATTGAAAATGAATTGTTAATATATTTCAGTGAGGTACGACAAAATTTGGACAAAATGGTCAACAAACAATCAATGTTTGTTTGGTGGTTGACAACTTTTCCTGGTGCTTTTCATTAGTTCGGACTTCCATTGTCTAATATGATGTGAATTGATTTGAAATCTCTGAAAGAATCTATAAGAATTGAAAAGATTAGCTGAGAAATAACAATTATAACAAGCAAAAAACTGAAATTTCAGTGAAATAAAATACAACAATTTGAAATTGAACTTCCAACAAGAGATGGAAATTAAAAATTAAAAGATTTATAGGTCGAATGACCTATAAATAGTCGGATCTCGGAGGAATAAGTACAGTCATCACTAACAATCGGAAAAACGTGAAGTAATTTGGTTTGGAATCTGTTAATTTTCATTTCTTGTTGAAAGTTCAATTTTTAATTGTTGCTTGTATTTTATCTTATTGTAATTTTGGATATCTTTGTTTAATATAACTATTATCACAAATAACTGTTATTTTTCAACTAATCTTTTGAATTTTTATAGATTTTTTCAATCATTTCAAATCAAGTTATATCTTATCAGATAATGGAAGTCCGAATTTATAAAACAATTAATGTTGATCTACGTGGGACCAATTTGTTACCAAAAAGTGAGAGGGGCGATAATTCATCTATTTAGATCTAGTTGGATCGAAGATTTTGTATAGATTTGGGACGAATCGGACACTTTTGAAGGAAAACTCCTATTTCCAAACACGATAGGAAAAAACTGATGCCTGTGTCTGTGTCTGAAAGTCAAATTCAATAAAAAAACTCAATGGTGATAACTGCGTATCGATATCTATCATCGTTTCAGAGTAACAGCATATTTTTCAAAAATGTGCGTTGCTGTAATTTTTTCCTGTCAAAAATTTCAAAATTCCAGAACACTTTTCTACGTAAAATTAAATGGTGTGAGAAACTCATTTTCTCAAATGAGATATCAATAGTTATTGATGGAAAACTATATTTTTCAATGAGACACGTTGTATAATCCTGTATATTTCAATAGAACTT